AAGTGGTTAACCGCTTGCTGCCGGGGAGCCTGGTTTTGGGCACATATTCTTTATATGCAGAGCAAAGGTCTCTGAATTCGGACAAAGGGAGCTGGGCCTTGTAACAAAAGACTGAACTCATAACAAAACACCAGCCTCCTGGTAATTACCAACATTTTGGCACTGTAAATTAGTGGAGACAATCCAGCATTTTTGGAAACAGTATACCACTGTTTGGGGCATTAAGTGCGAGTGGATTACCACCGGGGACAAAAGAGCTCCCCCAACGCAGTGATGAGCCACACAGTACCGCTGCACGCTAATCTGGCCCTTATTGAAAAGAGGTCAGCAGCGCACTTTGCCAGTCTCGTGACCAAAAGAAAATTACATAACACCGCACAATCTGGGCTCTTTTTACAAGGTGGCAGGCTTGGCCGAAATACTCCAGCGTCAATAGATGTGTCTGTCAGATTAGAGTAGAAACCAGACAGTTTGTCTTGTGGGTGTAAGAAGTGTCCAATAAATGAAGATATGAATTTTTAAAGAATTTTGAAAACAGAAAAAAATGAAAAATATTCCGTCTCAGCTGAATCAACATTCATAAATGCCCCCGGCGCGATGTGGTTCATACATGTAACTACTCAACTTAATTATTAGCCATTGTAAATTTTCATGTATCTCTCTCTGTCTTGCTTGATAAATCAATGTAAATCGCCCTGAGGTTAATTTAATAGCGGGCGTTGGCCAAATCCATTTTACTATAATACTAATTATTATCATTTGTCAGTACATCAAATGGTGGCAGCTGTATCTTGCCTTTTTGAAAGTCGTAATGTTTGGTTTTTTGGTTTGATACAGAAAAAAATGCAGACTTGCTACAGAATACAGATGATACCTTAATGCTTCTTTGTACTTCTCCAATACTGTCTTCTTCTCCTCTGCATTGTCAACCCAGAAATCACTCGGTGTGACGAAGGGTGAGGCTATGCGGCAAATTGGGCATGCTCTGTTCCGAAAAAAAAACACAGAAATAAAATAATAATTTCCACTTTTAAAGTGTACAGAAGTTGAAAATCTTCTTTCTCGATTCCATTTGTCAGCTGTCTTTTTACATTTAATAGTCTCTTTTACCAGATAATGCCAAATGACTTTCTCCCAAGAAGTCAACAACCAACAAAGTCAAGTTTGAAAGATGACAATCTGTCAACCACAAGTAGATTTTTCCCTGGTAACTTGAGCACAAAATACATCCTGGGTACCAGGCAAAATCAACCAGTGGTTGATACAATAGTCCTCCCTCAAATTTGCCCCAGCATAAACAGAATGCCCCAACTTGTACTTTGCACTCTCAAGCCGTATCTTTTCTGACCTCAAGCGGTGCTGTCTAATTTTTCGGTTGATAAGGTTCAAACTCGTGCATAAATAATGAAATCTTAGCCAAAGGTTACACAGAGCAAATGATGCAATTAAAAAAGTGGGCCCTTTGACACTTAATGGCACATTCTTTTTCAATTCAGTGAAAATGCCTAAGAAGACGCAAAATGAAAACACCTTGTCTACTCATGACTATGACTATAAAAAAAATTCAACCTGGAGATGTACTGAGATTCGTTTGAATGGAATGACACTCAATGGAAACTTTAAGGATACTTGTGATGGGGGCAAAAGTAATAGGCCTTTTTTACTGTTTACGTCACTTTAGAGGTAATGTGCGTATACTTCAGAGAGAGGTCAAAAATTACCACCATTATATTTGTACTAAGGCGGCATTACGAAATTGACCAACCATTCTCCACCGCGGACATCCGGCGGGATCACGGAAAGCACGCCAGTCCCCGCCAAACAAAAGACTCCTTGACAACCAGGAGCGCCCACGGACGGAACACAATATGCTAGGCTTATGTAACTTAGCAGTCTCATGAATACGCCTGATATTCCGTGGATTCCTGGCTCAGAAAAAAAAGCTACTAGGCTTCTTTCTGCCTGCCATTGCCCATGAAAGGAATGGCTTCAGTTTGTACCAAAGATAGATAAATGACAGCAGTAACATATTTCTCGTCACTGTAGGGAAACAAAATTCACTGATCCTTGATCGTCAGCAAAGTTACATGCTTGTACGAGCATGCAAAATTTCTTGTTCTCACTGCCTCTAGATTGCCAAGCGTCTGAAAGCCTCCCACTATCGTGCACCAAAAGCATGATACCTACCTTACAACTTTCTTTTCGTACTGCTTAGCACTGCGCCACTTGCGGATGCAGGACAAGCAGTAAGGGTGGTTGCAGTTGGACAGGAGGCCGAACTTACGCTCTTTGGCCGGCGACTTCTCCAAGACGACCTCCATGCAGATGCAGCACTGGACGTCTTTGCTGTGCTGGAAGGCAAACGCCTCCTGCATGCTCTTCTCGTGGGCTGCTAAACATAACTGCCAATGAAAAAAAGAAGGGATGTTGGAAATTTCACATAATACGGCCGTTCAACTCCAAAAAAAAAAAGGCACTTGTTCTTGTGTGTCTGTACCTACACACCATCTGCTTTCTAAAATTATACAATTAAACCAATACGGTGCTTGTGTGTAATATTAACATACACGGTATTAAATCTGGCATTGTCAAAAACCTTCAAATATGAGTGCAATTACAAAAACAATCCACCATCATCATCCCATCCTAATTATTTATTCTACCCACCAACCCATGCTAATTTTTTTCCCAATGTAACGGGAGAGACAGTTAATATTTACTTGTCTCTAGAAGCTTTATATGTACATGTATGTGCTATAGAAATCAGACAAGAGATGGCAATGAGCCCTTTACACAACATACGAGAAAATTTCCACACGAGGTCAAATTCGTGCAAGTTTTTTTCCATACTAACCTCACGGTGATGCTTGTTTTGCACAGGATCATTGATAATGAGACAGGCCGAGCCGCACATGTCGCACACCTCCCCGTGCAAGAACTTGCAGTTCTCGCCGTAACGGCACGTCCCCTGCAGCGCAAATGGGCACAGCAAGTCTTCTGCGTGTTGCGGCCCGTCGTGAAGGACTGCAGACGGGCCAGGACTGACGTCCTTGGAGTCTACACCAGACTGAGCAGCGGCTGAGTACGTCGGCGGCACTGTCGGACAGAAGTGAAAACGGTACAGTCTGTGAAAAATGTCAATGTGGCTCACCAGGCCAGCATTTTATCTCGTTTCAGTACCATGACACAAGGACTGAGAATATCCCCAAGGATTGGCCATTAGTCCATCACAGGTTCTGCAGCTAAGGCTGTTTCACATTTGTTTTCCTAGGTGGAGAGAGGTTAGTGTGAGTGAAGGACACAACACCCAACACCCAGTGGCTGCAGTTGAATCTTTAACCCTCTGATGAGTTGACAACCCTAACACTTGGTAAATCTTTCCCACAGTGTTGACCACTGGTAGATAGACAGATTCCATTTCAAGTGTAGCATGTCAATACAGTGACTACTTTATGCCGTAGTGTAAAACTGTAAGCGTTTTTATGAGTCCAGAAGAAAAAAACAAATCAAAAGATAAAGCTGTCACTGTTTCATTTTCACACCTCACTCACAGATTCTAAACAATATTAAGAGCAAGTTTTCCTCAGTGCAAATCACTCCTATTTCAGTTCAGCATTTCTTGAAAACCAGGCCATGATGGCCGGTGCCCACGGTTTCTTTTAATTTGCCATACTGCCCTCTATAAAAACACACTTTAAGACTCTGTTTGTCTTGTCCATTTCCCAACTGATAGAATTACGGCTGTGCGTACAGGAACCTTTTTCAAACTCATTGGTAAATGTACATTTTCAAACTTCTCTGTAAAGATATTGGGTACAACCAGTTTCTTAACAGCAAAGTAAAGAAATTGGTTGTACATAAAGCGGCGAATTATCCACGATGATTAAACCTCTACATCTGTACAGTTTGGGGGTAAAAAAATCCTGAA